AGGAAGAGGAGGAAGGATGGAGAGGAGGGAGGGAGGAAGAGGTACAGAAGGGAGGGAGAGAGGAAGAAGGAAAAGGAGGAAGGATGGAGAGGAGGGAGGGAGGAAGAGGTACAGAAGGGAGGGAGAGAGGAAGAAGGAAAAGGAGGAGGGAAAGAGAAGGGGAGGAAGGACAGAGGGGAGGGAGGAAGAGGAGGAGGGAAAGAGAAGGGGGGAAGGACAGAGAGGAGGGAGGGAGGAACAGGAGGAAGGACAGAAGGGGGAAGAAGGAAGGACAGAGGAGAGGGAGGTACAGGAGGAAGGACAGAATGGGACGGAGGACGAGGAGGAGAGGGAGGGAGGAAGAGGAGTGACAGGGGGGAGTGTGAAGTCAAAAGAAATATGGGGGTGGGGGGGGATATGATGATTGGAGTGATTATTGTGTGAAGAAAATTCAAAATTAGAAAAGATGAAAATAAAGTGCTATGTACATACAGTGATGACATCACCGTATGTTGATGACATCACTGTATGTTGATGACATTGAATGTTGATTACATCATTGTAAATCCCATACAATGTCATCACTATGTTGATTACATCATTGTAAATCCCATACAATGATGTCATCACTATATGTTGATTACATCATTGTAAATCCCATACAATGATGTCATCAACATATAGTGATGACATCATACAATGACAAAACTGGTTCTCTGCATTTAACCATCACACCTGGGATACACCCAGGTGGAGCAGTGGGCAGATATGTAGGCGCCCGGGGAGCAATTAGGGATCGGGTGTCTTGAGACTCGATCAAACTTTTCTGAAAGTGCCTTAAATCCCTACATTTACATAAACACTCTGTTTACACAAACACTGTGCAAAACAAACAAACATGGCACTCGGTCGTTGTTAGTCTCTGGTTATGGCTTCAGTTTTGCAGGAGTTCATTAGTTTTTCTAAAGAGCACGAAACGTGACGACACCTCAGGCCCAGAGTTCAGGACGAGGACGGGACGCAGCTTTGACGTCTCATTTTAGTTTGTAACAGCGGCTGCGGCTCGTTAGTGTGTTTGTTGTTTATGAAGCCAAGCTGTGGGCGACACCCGACCCTGAGAAGGAGCGGTGGGCTAGACGAAGACGGTGAGGCGACTACGTGCAGCAGCATCATAAAGGGTCAGAATGCTATGGTTTCTGCGGGCTGGAGGTGGGGCTGAACAGCAGCTGGTCCCGCTGGTGGAGCAGGCGCGTCGGTGAGCGAGCTCGGAGCGGGGCCAGCAGCGGGGACGCCATGAGCGGCGACCCCTCCAGACTCTGAGCGATGTAGTTTCGCAGCGAGTTCTTTACCTCCGCCGGCTTGCCCACGCCCACGATGATCAGCTTGCCGTCCTCCAGGCCAACCAGCACGTGGCTCTGCTCCTTGGTGACCGAGACGCAGCGCACGGGCACCCGCATGGCCATGGGCTCGGCGCACAGGGACAGGCTGCACAGAACAAACAAGGGAAACGGTCACATCTGGAACACCTGAAACATAGACCGACTATATTTTTCATGGACTGATACGGATATCAATTTTTTTTTGCTGGTTTAGCCAATTGATTTGTGCCCTACAGATTTAGTTTGCTCAAACAGAAAAAAACTTAAATCTGAATATGAAGGTGAAAACATATAAAAAAATTATTTGCAAGTCAATGAGGGAAACATGTTTTTGATTTCCAAGCAGGACCCAACTCCTGGTTGAGAAACGTTTGCAACCCAGACCGCAGCAAGAAATGTTTCAATACCAGTGTTTCCCCTAGATTATACAAGCGGGTGCTCCAGCTCCCCGCCTACCGAACCCCCCCAAATCGTTACTGATGTAGCACCGGGCATAATAAAATGCGCTTGCAAAAATGCTACTGACGTACCACTCCGCTCAGCATCCCCCTCGTCGATAAAAACCAGCAGTAACGCAACAACGCAGTAACGCAACAACGCAGTAACGCAACAA